ACAAGAGCCTCCCAGGCTACCAGCCACAAAACCCAAATTCGTGTTTTGAGCAGCCATTTTCCTCACATCCTTAGCTCCAAGATCTTTGTAGATTCCAATATGTGAATCATAGATCTGTCCTAATTTACAGCAAAAAACAAGTGACTGAATGTAAAACAATGTTTAATAAATCTACAGAGCCTAAAGTACCAATATAATTCCAAACAGAAAGATAGACATGCACTTCTTAATTAAGTGGGTGATGGTCTAGTTAAAACAAAAAGACAACCCTGGGCCATAGCTAAGATTAAGCACATGCTCTTGCAAAGGAAGCTTTGACTATTATCGATGTAAAGGCTTTAAATCACAAAAAATAAACCATCTAATAGTCTGTATTCAATAGTAAGTAGAAAGTCAGGACACAGACTGATTTGGATTAACACATTTTCAGTTATAACAAGTAATTTTACAGAGGATTAGTATCTTGATGGTCTGATCAATACTAGGCACTGCTGCTATTACAGATGAAGAGAAAATTACCCCTCCAGTAATAAAGTGTGTGTCTCGGTTCTCCTTCATTTGCCAAGTCCATTACTGTAATGGTTCCAGCATTAGCAGCTGAGGCAATTTAAACAGCAGGAATGTGATGAATTTAAAAGCAAGAAACATTTGCCACTCATTCTTTCTTGTATTTTATTCTGCATATGCAAGGCTTCTACCTGATCATTTCCAATATACAAACCATGTGTTATGTGACTATCAACACTATTTCTTAATTATTGTCTCATTAATAATGGGAAGGTCCAATAATGTGATTACCTCAAAAATTGCTACTGGCATATTGCTTGCTGATTCTGCTAAAACTTGCACACCATTTACCTAAGCAGAAGTATGACATGACAAGAAGCTTATTTAACTGCATCTAAGTTGTTTCTTTAATTTTCCTAAATACAACTTCTAAAAGAATCTAATCTGTCAAATAGAAAATTTTGTTTCGTTTGGGTCTTCTTAATAATGTTTTTTATCTTAAGAGACAGAACAATAATCGGAAACAATAAATCATTGTAATATTAGAACAAACCGTGGTAACAATGTTAAAGTTTTTAAACTTCATTGTATGGTACAGGCACCATCTTTCAGCATTAATTCTGAAACCAAACTCTTAGTCATGCTTTGAAGTGCTTTGAGAATACTTTCCTAATTTTCCTTGAGCATTAGTATGCTGAAGCAACCTGTTTTACCTTGTATAGATATATTATTTTGCAGGCAGCAAAAATGAGGATGATACAGGAAATAAGCCCTTCAGTGGCATCTCAGCCAAACACACAGTATATTCCCATTTTCTCCTTGTAAATAAAATACATACAAAGCTTTGTGTTATTTAAAGCTTTGTATTTCCTTGCCACTTTGTCCAACATGTCTCACAAATGTGATACTGCATATGAATATCTTTGTAAAAGCCCTTGTGAATATTCAGATATGTGAACACTGATGCATTTATTATTTGTACAGCAATAACTTTATTGGATTGGGGTCCCAGCTGTGCTGGGAGCTGTACAAACATAACAGTAGTGTCTGTGGAATACATTCTCTGCAGTCAGTATTCACAGTAATGTGAATTAGCATAACAGCTACAAAAGGTAATTGTGAACTGGGTTTAGACCAATCAAGGTAATACCTTTACTTTGAAAGAAAATAATACTCCAGACTAGCTGAGTATCTTCTCTTTCACCTGGCAATGGCACAGGGTGTTAACATGCAAACAGTGATAAAGCAAGCATATACAGGAAATAACTAGAACTTGGCCTCTGTCATACTGAAACCTTAAAAAATACACTTTGAATAAATAAGTCTCAAGAACATTAAGTCTTACATTAAATATTAAATTTTTAAACTTATCAATCAAGATAATAAACATTCTGAAAGCAAAAAACTTTCTTCCCAAGTCCAAAAGGGGGAAATAGCCTACTTAGATTACCAAATAGGAGGTTTGATTTTACTTTGTATGGTACATTTCTACACCCAGTGAAAAAGATGTGACCAACTCTGACCAACAGTGTAAAGAAAAAAGAATCAAAGTAACTATAAAATGTATTAATTAAAATGGAATTCTAAGCTAAAAGAAATAATCATGAACAACCCTGCAGTTGACTGTTTCTATGCCTTTTCAGCTAGTGAGCAACATCAACTCTAACAGCTCTGATTTTATACAGAGAATATTTGCTATGGGGAAGACCAGGGTAGCTGATGGCTTGCAACAGCTCCAAAGGTATCTTCAGGAACCTCAGAATAGTTGTGTTTTGCAGCCCACTTAAGACTCAGAAAAATATTCAACAGAACATTAGCATGCCCAGTATGGTGTTTAGAACAGATGAGTAGTTAACTTCTGGCTATGGTTTTCCTACTTTTTTTTCAGACCCTCTTCCCAAGGATGAATTTGCATCCTCCTCCTCTTGACTTGGAACACCAAATAATAGCACAAACAATTTAATTTCTGCTACATATTTAGTGATCTGCAAAGTTGAAATTGTTGTATGACAGCACTGCACTCTAAAGAACTTCTACCACATGTACTTGGAATAGAAATGTTCTTCTACAACAGCATAAATCAAAATTTGCTATATACAAGAAGATTTGAGCCAGAGAAAAGTTTATCACATATAAGAAACATACTACATAATTACAAAGTAAAAACCAATCAGTGGGATTCTGACAGACAGCATTTAACTGTACACTATTACAGCAAAACAAGACCTTTTATACAGGATTTAATTCTGGAAAACAAGAGACATTGCCAGGAGACACATAATCCAAACCAGCTTCTCTACTCAACCACTTCCCTCTCAGTAGTAGGCCTCATAAATCTTACTCTCTAGAAGAGGCTGGGTTAGCCTCACTAATATTTGGTTTGCTAAAAAATATTTTAATCAGTACCTAAATGGAAGTCTTGGCAGAATTAATATAATATAGACACTGTTCTTTGTCTTCAGCATTTCTCAGGTGATCAACATAAACTAGGAATAGCTAAACCCATGAATTGAAGGGTGACTTGGCACACTGCCATGAGCCAAGAGATTACATCTCCAATTAATTTGCAGAAAATAATCAGTATGATGATGCTTCCACAGGGGGGAAAAAAAAGTGTATGTTCTTTCTAGCGTATCACCCTTTTTCCCATTGCTGCTTTCTCCTCTGGCAGCCTTTATTCTAAGACATTCTACAGGCTCATTTTGCTTCACTTTCAGTATAGTCAGCGTCGCAAGTACTACCCAACTTCCACAATCCCCCAAAGGCATTCTGTAAGTACTGACACCTTTAAATTCTCTTTAAGAATCTTTTATCTTTCATCCTTTTTTGTCTGTGCACCCACAACGAGTTGTGTCTACAGCAGTATTCTTGCACTTTACCTCAAGTTTTTCTCATACATCGTCCTTGACACCTCTTGAAGTGCCTTTCCTCCTACAGCCTTTGCCAATGTAGTTCACAGCATCATCCTTTTACCCCTCACAGGTATTCTTGAGTGATTATCTTATGAAGGGCCATTATTCTCATATGCACATGATTCCCAAATACATTCAAGACCCATTGAAAAGACAAAGGCCCTTGGATAGACAGCACAAATGTACAGGCTAAAAAAAGTACAGGTTGAGGTTTTATCTCCAAGGTATTGGATAGGATATCTGCATATGTTTTGACATATATGGAAAGAGCAGAACACAAATGTAAGGACTGAAATTGCTGTCCTTCAGCAACTTGAGACAGCAGAAAGACAAATTACAAAATGACCAGGTCGTCTTTAAGTCGCTATGAAACTTACTAGGGCAAAGAGGCTCTAAAGCTCTCTAGTAAAATACTTACATCAGACCGTTTCCCTGCCTCTGCAGGGAGAGTACATTCAACACTGAATAGTAAATTAATAGCAATACCAAAACCAGCACGTTCCCTGTTCAGGTGTATGAGATTACCATTTTCAAAGGAATTTTCTAAATTTATGATTGAATTAGCCTTCCTTTCATTAACACACTAATATCACCACTATGCTTTCAAACAAGTCACTTACTGGTTCTGTTTTGTAAAAAAAATCAGTATTAGTACAACAATGATCAAGAGCTGAAGTAAAATATTGTGGAACGGAGTAAAAGAAGCGCCTGAAACAGCAAACATTCAGCACTCCTGTTTGCTTCCAGAGGCAGTGAAGTAACATCTTCAGTGTAAGCATTGCATCTAAACATGTGGACAAGAAAAGAAATATTATAATGTTCGGGAGGTATAAGAGACTTAAAAATATTTATTTAGGTCAGGCTTAGTGTATAGTACTTTTAAATTTAATAATTAGGCGCAGTTACACAGTGCATCATCTCACTGTGAATATTTCGACAAAAACATACACACACTCCTTGCGTCATTTTTCATATACCAGAGAACTCTCTTTTAAATTGAAGCATCTTGCTCAGATGGCGCACGCCTTTACCACTAGCTCCTGCTAACGCTGCACGAGGTGCCCCTCGTTCAGGGGAGAGGGGATCCGACATTCCCCGGCTAAGCAGAGCCCCCCGCGCGGCCAGCCCCGGCGGAGCCCTGAGGCAGCGGGGCGGCGCTGGGCACACGCGGCCGTGCGGAGCTCACCCCGGCTCTGTGCCCGCGGCTCGGGGCCGGGGTCCTTCCTTCTCACAATGAACTTCACGGCAGCCTCGGAGTCCCCTCACTCGGGGCTCCAGCACTGGAGCTACCGGAGCCCCGGCGGGCTCTGCCCCGCACAGCCCCACGAGAGAGAGAGCTGGCCAGGGGCACACTCCTCGGGACTGCGGGGAGCAGGAAGCAAACGGAAGGTACCTTCAGTTCTTTCTCCCGCTCCCCTGCTCTCCTCTTCATGGTGCCGCCTTAGCCGTCCGCCTGGAGCGGAGCAGCACCACGGGAACCCCGCGCAGCTCCCGCCGGCAGCGGTAGGAGCGCGGCTCCGCGGGCCGTGCGCGGCTCCGCCCCGAACTCCAAGTCCCGGCAGGCCCATGGCGGCCCGGAAGGGGAAGGGCCCGGTCAACAGCGGCAGCAGCTAACGGAGCGCTGAGCGGAGCCCGGGGCCGGCGGGGGCCGTGAGTACGGGGGGAACTTCTCCTCCTCTGGGCACGGCGCGGGAACTGCCCGGGGCTGTGGCACCGTGTCCTAGAGCGGGCGGTTCTCGGCCGGAGAGGCGAGGAGCGGGGCTGGAGGGTCCCGCGCTGCGGGCGGCGGTTCCAGACCCGAGAGACTCCTCGCTCGGTGCCTGTGGGAAAAGGCTGGGAGCCGCAGCGTTTGGTTAAAAGTAGCCGTGTAGGCCTCTGGTTTGTACCTGGAAAAACTGCTGGGCTGAAGCGGGAGCTTAGCTCCTGTGCCCGAGGGCGGGACAGCCCGGGCAGTGTAGGCGTTCCTTCATGAGGCAAACGCTGCTTTCCCTGCGACCCTGCCTCTTCCAGTCCTGTCAGTCACCGCCGGGACTGGCGCGGCTGAATCAAAACTGGGAAGCTTTGTAAAACGTGTTGAAGGCAAGACACGGTTGTTCTGTGTTGAAGTAGGACTTACAGGTCTGAGAGATGCTTCTCCCCTCAGGCAACAGCAGAATATTGTGATCCCGTTTCCTAATATCTTCCATATCTTCTGGGTTTTTTTTCCTGTCCACCTCCCAAAACACACAGGGCTGCAACACATGATATTTGAAAGATGATATGTGTGTATTTCTACCAGGTAATAAATGAGATTATTTTAGGTTACAAGACCAATAAAGTGCAAACATATATATTTTAAGGACTCAATAGAGGGAGAACGTAGGCTGGAAATGCATTGTGATAAGCTAAGATAGGTGGGTGGTCTCTCCCACTTCCTTTTTAAAATTCCCTCTAGAAGTGAACTGGAGTAGGATTTTGTAATAAAAGGATCAGTTTCTTTAATTTTAGTAGTTATATCGAAAATTCTTGCTTATACCTAACTTGAATTTCTTATACATTAATCCCAGAGATGGGGTGAATATTCCTCTCTTTATACATTAGGTTCTTTTCTCTAGTTTTGAGGAACAATCTGTGCTGAAGTGATTGTAGGGTATCCTTTCTTGGAAATAAAGTCTGGTTTAAGATTTTGAGATTAAGGATGGTATGTGGATCTGTCCAGATGCAAATGCAAATTTATATCTCTCTCACTTTGTTATGCTTTCTTTTAGGAAATGCTACACTTTTTTAAGTACTATAACTTTTCTAGCAGTGTTGCTGTACAGTTTTGTCAGATGTAATCACTTTGGAAATGCTTTCAAAAGTAATATGGAATGTCGTGGACAAATCTCATATGCTTTTAGAAATAACGCTGGAACTAGACTGCAAGGAAAAGTAATTTTGTTTAAGTGTTTGTGATTGACACAGAGATAATATTCAGAGAGGAACTGTAACATATGTAACACGTGCTTTGATGTTTGAAGTGTCCTCTCTCAAAGCAGCAGCATAACTGGTGGCTATTAGTGATTATTAAAGACATGGATATGTTACTAATCAGGCAACTAAGTTGCCAGGCCAAATTCTAAATCTGTAATTATGTTTGGCCTCCTTAAAACCAGGAGGCATGTTTGTACTATTTCTGTCTAAAATCACTGTATCTGATAAAACCAATTAATATGGTTGTTTTTCTTAATTTTCTTTTTCTGTGGCCCAGGACAGAAAAAAGCTGAATGCTTAATTTTTGACACTTTATTATGGAAATGAAACAATTCTTCCATTTTCTTTTGAAAATTTCACCTTCTAAGTTTTCAGGACAGTTTTAGATTTGAAGTTGCTTTATTTTGTCACTTCAAGTCATGTCATGTTGCCAGTAAAAACTGGCTTTGTGTGCATGTCTACTATATTAGTTTGCTTACAGCTCAAGTATTTCTGTGGTTTTGCTGCAGCCAATAATGGATTACTACTGACAAGAGTTGTTTGTTTGAGTGACAAGCATGTGTTGTTTTGTCTCTGTTTTTAAATGAGTAGATTTTTCTCATATTGAAGATAACAGGTAGCTATCCATAGTAAAGTTTCTTTAGCAAATACTGAAAGCCAGTAACGTTTGTCTGTGCCTGTTACTGTTCTAGAGTTTTTGAAGCCCGATTTTGATAGATCACAAACATTGTGAAGTCGTGCGATAAAATACTTGTTTAGCTTGATGTCTCTTGAAACTTGCCCAGAAAAAGCCTTTGTAATTTTTGATTTGTGAAAGCAAGGACAACCACATTCTAGAAAGACGTATAATGGTAGCATCTCCTTGCTACCATCATGAACCAAATTTAGATGATGCTCTGGAGGTAAAGTGTTTCTATTTCCCTTTGATCTCAGTTGCTGTAGCTGTACTGGTGCAGGGACATATAATAGTAACCACAATAATGAACCTAGACCTGAGTGAAGCTGATGACTGCAGATAGAGCTAATTTAACAATTACAAAAAAGTTTTGAGAATTTTGTAAGAGCAGTGCAAAAAGAGCTGAGGATAGAAAGGAGCTGGATAGCAGTGGGTGTGTATTTGTCATTGGTTGCCAGTTGTGCCATCAGCTGAGTGGTGTGGACATCAACATAACAGAGTAGTATTCTCTGTCACTGACAACACTGAAACTGCAACCATATTGCAAGTTTACAACTGTAGTTCACTTCAATGGTCATGATAAGGAAACATTTTTTCCACATGGAAGAAAAATGTGTTCCTGTTTATTCATAAACAGTGAAGTCTGGAAATAATATTTTATCATAAATTTTAGTGATAAAAAAAAAAAAAGATTAAAAGCAAGACTGACTTGTTAGGAACTAGATTTCCATTAATCCTTTTTGTTTCTTTAGAACAAAACCATAAGGAGACTTATTTATGATGGAAGAAAGAGTTTAGGTGGCACTTTTGATTATGGTCAAATTAACAGATATTCATGGGATGTCTGTTGATTGTACCATGTTGCTTCTGCCCTCTGATGCAAGTCTCTAGTAGCATCACTGTTAATTTCACAATGCTCTCCTAGATGGTTTTGGATTGACTAAGGATTTATATAATCTGAAGAGTATAACAATGGTTTTGGGGATAAGACTGTCAAAAGGACTTCATGTCTCTCCTTTTCCTATTGTTTCAGCATTACTTGACTCTGTGACCAACATGCAATTTTCTGCACCAGAAAACAAGAAAGAAACAGCAGTTGTTAACAAGTATGTTCATATATTACACCAAAATAAATGTAGTACTTTTTCACATTAATACTTTCCTAATCTCACTTTGTCATGTAACTAAGCTTTCTGTTGCCGCAAGATAGAATCATGTTCAAATTTATGAGAATCATTCATAGGAGACTCTCTGTCTTAAAAAGTAATTTCTTATATGACAATGATTGAAAGAAGGCTAAGTGAACGTCAGGCAGCACTGGAATGACTTCATAACCCTCAGCACCTGTTTCAAAGAATCCCGGTCAAAACTTGGAAGATGGCATTACTCATCTACCAGTCGATGCCTTAAGCTTTTACCTCTCTTAAAATGAACTAACAATTAAAAAAAGTCCAACTGAACAAAAAGCCTGCAGGTCCCCTTCCCACATCCACTTGGAAATACAGCCGTAGCCCAAAGGTTCCTGAAAACAGCAGAATTAGGACTAGAACTTCAGAAAGGTAATTGTACATATATTAAATGGAATTTAAGCTATTGTATATCTTTGTGAATGGATTAAAACTGGCATAAAATTAAACTGGAGAGTTTAAGAGTTTAGATTGTCCTCTGGACAGTCTAGTTGAGATAGGAGCATTCAGAAGTCTCATTTCAGTGAATCTGCCATAACTTTTGCCTTCATTTCATGTGGTGTATTGTTCGTTCTACTCTCAGTTTAAATAACAGATGAAGAGGAATTTCATTTGAATTTTGTTATCCCTAGATAAGCCATGCCTGCTGCAGCTGATGTAACTGTGGGGGACCTGCCTGTGAGACATACAGGTCTAACTCCAGCTGGAATTGAAGGATTACAAGGTTTGTACCAGCTGTTATTTATTACAGCTACAGACTTTGATCAGTGGCTTCTTTAGTTTCTTTCTAAAAATGTTTCTGATGTTGCCACTCACAAAATTAAGTTCAAATACCAGTCAAAATCTGGGTTAAATTGTGAAAGATTCTGTGACCCATTCTATGTTCAAGTTGCTTGTTATAAGAGGGGAGTGTCTGTGAGATGCTAAAAACTGGAAATGTCATTGAGCTGTAACATTCATCCTTCCAGAAGAAATGAGGACTTTCTTGCTGAATTGAGGACAAGGCCAGATCCATTTGACAACATGGGAACCAAAAGTATTATGCAATTGTGCTATGTTACTCTGCTTCTGTTAGAATGGAACAACTGGGCTTAGTCTTGTACCTGAGTAAATTTACTGAACTATGAGTTAACATTTTCAAGCTTCAGGATAATGTGTTAACTTTGGAACAGATTAGAAAGAATCCCTTTGCTAATGCCTATTTTTAGATAGTATCTTTGGCAGAACCTGGTTATTTGGTAAACTGTTACCTTTGTGTTGTATGTAAACAGGTTGCTGTATAATTTTAATTGCTTTTGTTTTTAAATCTGTAAGAGGAAGGAACAAGGAAGTGATTAAAATGACAATAAATCCAAAAAAAATAACAGACTCATAGGAGTGTAAAATATAAAATTACTTGAGAAATTGCGGGCAATTCAGTATTTCAAAATGAGTTTTGACTTTGAACTACATGTTGTTGGATGTATTGAAGGTAATTTAAAGTTGTCTTGGTTTGAGTAGAATCATCAACTGCACAGAATATAAAAGCTCAACAAGCTAGGTAACAAATCAGTCAAGAGGAACTGGAGGACAGACTTCTTCATGTATATGATGGTCACATCTTACTCAAGCAGCATGCAAATGAGCAGGAGGAGAAAGCTAAAAGGTATGTTTTAACTAAAAGGTTAATACTAAAAGTATTAACTAAAAGTTAATACTTTTATTTTAGCTTACAGTAATACTTTTTCCCTTTAAAACATCAATAAATTAAAAATTATTTCTCTCAGAGTACTTTTTAAAGCAATAGCAAAAATTACTCTTTGGAATTAATTTTTTTGTTTCTGGTTACGTCTGTGTATGTATGTCTTTGTGGTGGACTGTATTAGATCTCCATGTACAGAGCTACAGCGCTGTCTGTTGCTTTGGAGCTGGTTTGGAGATATGCTGTCAGAGTGTTCTGGGAACTGGAGAAGAGGCTGTAGAAGCTTAATGATTCATCAGGAATTTCATTCTAGAATCAGAAGTATCTATACAGTGAGATTCCACCCCTATTATTAAATTTAGTGCTATGTTGGCAAACCAGTGTGGGCTCAGCAGAGCTGTTCATGGTATTACTGCATTGCAGGAGGGCTGATTAATCCAAAAGCACTGTGACTCTGTGCTCATGTTGTGCTGTACTTAATAAAGTCATGCTGCATCCAAGTAAGGTGTGGTCAGAAGCTAACAGATTCATAAAAGGGCAGCTGAAAATATTGCTTCTGTAGATGGGACTATGTCATGACTTTTTCAAGTCCAAAGCATTCTTTCCTTTTGACTCAATATTCAGTGAGTCAGGAACAAATTGGCCAGCATGACATAACTTCCATCTTTTCTGTCAGACTGTTGTCAAATCCAAGATGGTGGAACAAGTGAATTCCTTGCTTATTCCACAGGGCATTTCCTGTGTTTCTGTTAGATGCCTTACCAAATGCACTCATAATCCACTTAAGTAGCATTACACAGAATGTCTAAATTGGAATACCTGAATTAATACTTTATGGCACAGAAAATTAAAAATACGGTGTTTGCCAGAGAAAAAACTTCACTCGTCAAGTCAAATTTCTTTTCCAGCATTCCTCGCCAAAACCCTTTAAATTAGAAGTTTGGGATGGATTTGCAGGAGAACATTGAAAAAACTCCACGTAAACAAAAAACCTGCTTACAGGCAAGTAACATTCTGTGACATCCTGAAGTTATTAGGGATTTTTTTTGTTTCAGTTTTGTTCTTTTAAGTAGAAGCTTCTGTCCACAAGTATACAAAAAATAAAACAACCCCCTTAAACAAATGAAGTGTGTCCTTATTTTCAGTTTTCTTTCTGGGCCTTCAAAAATAGATTTCCTGTAAACTAGATACAGGTCTCAAAGATGTGCAATCTACTTTGTAAAGTCTTGAACTTGTCTCTTTCATCAAAGCCACCTTTTCTTTCTTTATATGCCAAGTTTTTTTCATTCACTTCTGGGTATGTTTTCTGTTCATGCATTTTACATCACCCCCATGTGCCCTCTCTGCCTTTTGTTCTAGCTTACCAATGTTTATCAAAACTAAGGGAAATCAAAAGTACAACGCTTGAGATACCAAAATCAAAATTTGTATCCTTCTAAAGACAGGTGACAACCATACCCTTAACCTCTGTATCTAATTATATTCTGCAGCTAACTATTCCTTCTCCAAAGCACACTGGAAATACTTGCCAAGTATAAAATTGAGTATGGTAATGAGAACTGTTAAGTCTCTTTTTCCAGAGTACCTTCTTAAATATCTCCACTTAGGTATTTTAGCCACTTAAGACATGAAATATATATTTAAATCCCAAAATACTAGAAATTGTATATAATTGGAATGTTGCATATTATTAGCATTCTTTTAATAATTGAATGTTCTGTGGAATTGTAGCTTTTATAGTTTGCCCCACCACATCCCAAATCTGTAACTTTACTTAACAGCATGCCGAGGTTCCTACATAAGGTCATGCGTTAAAAATTACATTTAAGCACCATATGGAGTAAATATGTGTCCTCCCTTTACTAACCTTAAATGATAAGCCTTAGGAAACTGTTATTTGTCAGTGCTATAAAGCAGATTGCTGCACAGTGGTTTCAATTATCTTCAAAGGGTTCTTCACAGGCAGTAATAGTTATATCAAAACCTGAAATTTATTATTCAGGTTCTATGCTGAAGTCTTCACAGTGATTATGTTCCTTTCAACAGAATGCTTTTTATGCTGACTTTTCACATTCTTTTTCATCTTTTTTATTATTTTCCCCAGAATGACCACCAAGTTAATACAGCTTGTAAATGATAAAAAAAAAAAGTCTGAACAGGTTGGTGGCGGCCCCAAGTGGCTGGGTCAGGCCTGGAGCTGGAAGAAAGGATTGAGCATTGACAAGAAAAAGTTCATGAGCTTGAGAAACAAAATGAGAGCCTCCCCAGAAAACTCCTTTCAGCTGACCAGCAGCTCCACATTCCAGGGCATAGAGCTTGTCCATACAGCTGTGTTCAATCTTTTATTAGCAGTGGTCTCAGAAAAGTGAGGGGAGGCTGCTGCTATGCCAAGGCACACGAGGAAAGGTATAATTCACATTTATTAAAAACAATGGTTTATATCAGTATTCCTAATAATGGCTTAGCCGTAGGAAGTCCATACTCTTTTTTTGTTCATCAGTGGGCAATAATAGTACCTGGAAGCAGAAAGATTGTTCTTTCCCCTTGTTCTTGTATTTATTTATAGCAGTCATGATAACTTGCTTGCCTTTGAAGTCCTTATTTTATTATGAGAATCCACAGTAGTGGGGGTTAAACAAAAGTACAGATTTGAGAAGACAGTAGCTATCAGGCAAGTTTTCTAATAGTTAAAATCATTGGACTTCCTTAGTATAACTTCTCTACATGTTAAAGGGTTATAAAAGTAGTGTATGAAAAAGTTTAGTGTTTTCATGTTATAACAAAATTTCACATCTGTAGTTTGTTTGCACGTGTTTTTCCTTTTTTAATTTCAAGGTTTGTTCTAGTCTCTTGATACATGTGTGCACAGCACTGCAGACTTGAAAAATCTATCACACGTGTGGACTTTGAAAAGCAAATACTACAGTGCAGCCATCTATAATGGTGCTTTTTACTGTCGAGACTTACTGCTTAAGGCAGTCTCCCTCTCAGTCCTTTACTTACTGTAGTCACATTTGGAAATCACACTTTAAAACTTTTGTGTTTTCATAGGAACATTTGTAGAAGTAGTTGTACTCAGTTAACCTTTACACTGAACTGATAATGTTTTTAAAAAAGCCCAACGAACAGCTACAACCCTGATTCAAACCTGAGTCAGCAGAATTGTCTCCTTAACTTCCAGAAGGTATGGGTTAGGCTAGTGGCCAGTTACACCCTCTCATCAGTCTTCATTTTTATTACATTGATTCAGGTATATGTGAACAGCAACAATTCTCATGTTTTTAGACAGATGAAAAAACGTGTCTCTACCAATTTGCCTCTCTAATTTCTATGTAGTTTTGACATTTTCAATTCACCTATGTTTTTTACACTTCATATCATTAATCGGAAAGTTTTATTCCTGAAATCAGTTTGTTTGGTTTTTATCTTACCAATGTAAAACACAGGGTAGAAATATAGTAAATGTACTCAGGTTCAGTGCTACCATATAGAGGAGGGCAAATGGGCAACTTTGTTCTGGGAATAGAGATCAAATGTTGATATGACAGAATGGGAGGATTTACCTTGGCATAAAAACAGATCGAGATCTTAGATGTCTCATGCAGAACTAGAACCATATTAAGGCAAAGATTCTTAAACTGAAGAAAATGTGAGTAATTAAAAAAAAAAAAAAGAAAAAAAAAAAAGAAAAGGAAGAGTTGTCCATAGAAGGTCCAGCTCAGATAACAATGTTCAGGAATTTTGAAGATGTTTTAGTGTACCTGTCTGCTTTCTGAAGCCTTGTCCAAACCAGAGGGGATTCTGATAATCTGAAGCTTTGAATATGCAATTTCTTGATCATATTTTCCTAAAGTGAAGACTTTCTAGAAATCTGGTAACCAGTACTCAGAACTTTAACACAGTAGTATTGTCTTACGTAAGGTCAGCAAATACTTGAATACTTTCTACAATATTCATTAAGCATAGACTAGCTCATGTTTTTGTCTTGCATATGTCCTTATCCTGCCCTTTTGATCAATGATGATAAACCCAACTGACTGGTGTTGGGTATGTGCCCTCTTTTTAAAGAACTCAGCTCTTAGATTGCTCAGTCAATCCTTGAGTCTGAATCTCAAATCATTTTTAGACAGAAAAGACATGCAGGACACTTATCCAGAAATAAAATGCCTGGAAAAATTCAGGAGAGCTTGGCTGTCTCTAGGATATGAAGACACAAAAAAAATCCACAACAATAAATATACCTTACTGTATCTGCATTGTGTTTGGCTGCTTTAAAAATACCATAACCAATTGATCTAAAACATCTTCCATATAATTTTTGCAAAATTTTTTTGGTATAAGTTCATAGCAAGCAATTTAATGTTCCTTACTACCCATGAATAATTTGGAATCTAGAAATAGTAGAAAACTATGGCCTTATAGAAGGATAGAGTGGCAAATGAGGTGTAGCTGTGCAATGCAGCAAAGTCAGGCAGACATGCATGCAGACTGTGTTCATAATAAAGCCTCTATTAGTTAAAACGTTTTTATTTCTCTTTTTTACTTTTTTTTTTAAAAATACATGAGATATTCTACAGCTTTGCGTGTATTTTCCCCTTTTTAACAGTTTCAATTCCAGACTGTTACCTTTAGTTGTAGTAAGGATCTAATATGGCATGATCCTGCAGTTCTTACTCGTTTGATTTCAGTGGAAGTTCTCTTTGGATGAAAAATATCATCAGTTCTTTAACGGCCTTTCAAGGGAGGGACCCCATTATTATGTGTGAGCATTCTTTTGTGCATCAGAGGTGCTACATAAATAATACATCATAATGTTTGTTATTAAATTATTCACAGTCATAAGTCTCCCCTATTCAGAATTTCCTTTATATAGTTTAAATAGGTTAAAGAAGTTGTGATAAATAATTTCTTAGTCTGTGCCTACAGTGAATTCAGAAAATATTTAAAATATTTTTTTTAATTATTTGAAAGTAATCTGTTTTGAAGAACTTCTCTGCTTCATTTTTGTATAAACACTCTTTTTCAAGTACAGCAGACAGAAACTGAAGATAACATCTAAATTCAATGTCAACTACCATATTTATGTGAAAACTTTTAAGGACTTTGAAAGTAAAGATGCACTTCAAATTCAGCTAAAAAATTCTGTAAATAAAGCTAGATTCTAAAAAGTAGTGCAGATACTTATTTATGTTTATCGAATTACTTGTATTCAAACCATGTTGCTTGACCTAAGTTACTGTGATTTAAGTTCCAAAAGTATTTAATTTATAGTCTATTTCTGGTTTGAAATCTGATAGAGGATGCGTTAGTATTTGAGAGTTGCTGTGTTTATCTAAAAATACTAGGACATAAGTTTGAAAAATGTCCACCAGTACACATGTAGAATAGTGTGTGTTCTATAATTTTGCCACCAGAACACTTCATGGAAGACTCTTAATTCCCATGTTTTCCAAGTCATGTATTTTTTTATGCTGCATGAACAGAGCCAGAACTTAAAGGGATACATGAACGTTATATTTGGGAGTCTTTCATTAGTTACTTTCTTGGGAGTCATGTAACTGCTATCTAGAACAGTCTATGAGTTGTTTTATTGCACAAATAATCTTACAGGTTCTGTGTAATTCTTATTTTTAATCTTTGTATCATCAGAGAAGAAACTTTCAATTGTGGAATACTGGAGAAAAACGTGGACATTTGGGTGACCAATGAGGTCATCTTAGTTCATCTTTGTAGCTTATGTCTTCGAATTTTTATATTATCAACAGCTTTTTCTTGTGTTTTGTAAGAAAACATGTGGCTGTCATTCTGCTACGTAACCACGTAAAGACAATGTTGAAATTCTTTAGGTGCTGAAAGGACTGGGCTCCCACCAATCTCTTTGCTGTAGCACCATTTGATGTCAGCCTGCTGTTAGATTACTGCCAACCTTTAGGAGAACATTCTTTATTTTGCTACTCATTTAAGAAGTTCTTGTGATTGAAAGAATTGTAGTTACCAAATAGAGAAGCAGCCACAGTTAATCATTAGTCCATCATCAGTAAGGAAGGGAGGTACTGGTTATCCTGTATCC